CAGCGGTCATTCACTCCCAGGCTGACTCTCATCTGGAACTTGTTGGCTCAAGAGGTTGATACACGGGAGATCAGGTCAACTGTTCACATGAAGACTCTGCCACACAGTTGGCTACAGGCTCATCCTCTTCCTTATATGATTGTTACGTAGATTTAAATAAAGATCATTATACTATGTAGCGGCAGGCTTTGGATGACCTGAAGCAGGATAACAGGACCTTGCTTGCAGTTTCACTAGTTACTTCACTTGACAGCCCTAATGAACCTACGTATTAAAAAAAAGAGAGCTTGAGAAAGAGAGAGCAAATAAGAGAGAGAAAGAGTAAGAGACAGAGAGTAAGAGAGAGATAAAGAGACATAAACAATCAGACAAACAGACAGAGACTTAAAAGTACAAACAAACAGACATTCTAACTACCACCGCCACCGTTCCTCTACAAACTCCACTACCACAAATCCGTTGACAAATGAAGCGACTCCACCAGCAATCCCCCGCCGAGGGTTAACACAGTCTCCAAGAGTGGCGTAATGAACATTAAATGTTATTGCTGACATGGAGGCCGCAGACATCTGTGTCTGTCAAAGGGCTTCGCTCGCGTAATCTTGCCATGAATTTATGGTCGTCTTATTTTGAATAGTAAATAGCTATCTGATGAGAATATTACTGGTCGTGTGTCTGCCCCGCCGACGACGGTAAAGCTGAGGATTAACCTAAGTGGAGATGAATTAGGATATATATTATGGGAAGGTTTAAAGGTGCCTGAGGACCTGAGGACCTGAGGACCTGGGGACCTGGGGACCTGGGGACCTGGGGACCTGAGGACCTGAGGACCTGGGGACCTGGGGACCTGAGGACCTGGGGACCTGAGGACCTGGGGACCTGAGGACCTGAGGACCTGGGGACGTGAGGACCTGGGGACCTGAGGACCTGAAGACCTGGAGACGTGAGGACCTCGGGACCTGGGGACCTGGGGGCCTGAGGACCTGGGGACCTGAGGACCTGGGGACCTGAGGACCTGGGGACCTGAGGACCTGGGGACGTGAGGACCTGGAGACCTGAGGAGCTGAGGACCTGGAGACGTGAGGACCTCGGGACCTGGGGACCTGGGGACCTAAGGACCTGGGGACGTGAGGACCTGAGGAGCTGAGGACCTGGAGACGTGAGGACCTCGGGACCTGGGGACCTGAGGAGCTGAGGACCTGGAGACGTGAGGACCTCGGGACCTGAGGAGCTGAGGACCTGGAGACGTGAGGACCTGAGGACCTGGGGACCTGAGGACCTGAGGACCTGAGGACCTGAGGACCTGGGGACCTGGGGACCTGGGGACCTGGAGACCTGAGGACCTGGGGACCTGAGGACCTGGGGACCTGGAGACCTGAGGACCTGGGGACCTGGAGATCTGAGGACCTGAGGACCTGGGGACCTGAGGACCTGAGGACCTGGGGACCTGAGGACCTGAGGACCTGAGGACCTGGGGACCTGGAGACCTGAGGACCTGAGGACCTGTGGACCTGGGGACCTGGGGACCTGGGGACCTGGGGACCTGAGGACCTGGGGACATGGGGACCTGAGGACCTGGGGACCTGAGGACCTGGGGACCTGAGGACCTGGGGACCTGGGGACCTGAGGACCTGAGGACCTGAGGACCTGGGGACCTGAGGACCTGGGGGACCTGGGGACGATGGCAAGGAAAACACGGAGTTGGAGGAGGAAAAAAATATTAATTTTGAAAAAAGAGAAAGAGAAAGAAGGTGGAAAATAATATTATGAAGAAGACAAAGAGAGAAGAAAGCAGACGTGAAGAGGAAACGTTTCTCAAAGAAGAACAATGATTTTCTGAGTGGTCTTAGAGCAACAGCAGCAGCAGCAGCAGCAGCAGCAGCAGCAGCAGCAGCAGCAGCAGCAGCAGCAGCAGCAGCAGCAGCAGCAGCAGCAGTAGCAGCAGCCCCACCACCGCCAGCAGCAGCAGCAGCAGCAGCAGCAGCAGCAGCACCACCACCACCACCACCACCACCACCACCATCAGCAGCAGCAGCAGCAGCAGCAGCAGCACCACCACCACCATCACCACCACCAGCAGCAGCAGCAGCAGCAGCACGAGGCAATTTACATCACAGAAACTGTTGTAACTATCACTTTTACAGCAGCCACAACACCAACAGCTGTAGTCAACAATACATGAAAGCTTCAACCAGATACTTTCAATAAATCACTCATAATATGAGAGTTGAGCCCGTCCTCACAGGAAATCCATTACTATGAGACGCCGTACCACCTTCAAACCACCTGGATAGTTATCTAGATTTCTGTGATGGTCTAAAAGCATATTACGTTTCCAGTAATAGTCTACATGTAAAATGACAAACTATCTTTAGTTTTAAAAAGAGATTATTCGCAAGTTATAACGTTATTGTATTATAAATCATTGGTTTAAAATATAAAAAGTGTATGCTGTAAACGTTTTCTATGAAGAAAATTTGTTTTCTGTAAAGGGAATTCTCGGGCACACTGAAATAGTTTTCGATTTAATTTTTTTTCCAATTATTGCCACTAATACACCATATAACCGTAACCAAACATGCTAAAACCCAACTTAACCTAACCAAACCTTAACCTAAGATAACCTTAACCTAACCTTACCATGGATAGAAAGTAGATAATAACTCTAGTTATGTAGTTGTTACCAATCCATTCCCTTGAGCGGATATCCTCCCTGAGGACAAGTTGGCGCATTTAACTCAAGCAATAAATTCCTGTTCTCGCTGAGACCCTTAAGGAAGATCTCAGCCTCAGAGAGAATCATCTCAGAGTGACTTACCGAGGACTTTCTTTGCTCTCAGAGTGACTTACCGAGGACTTTCTCAGCTCTCAGAGGGACTTACCGAGGACTTTCTCAGCTCTCAGAGGGACTTACCGAGGACTTTCTCAGCTCTCAGAGGGACTTACAGAGGACATTCTCAGCTCTCAGTGTGACGTACAGAAGACTTTCTCAGCTCTCAGAGGGACTTACCGAGGATTTTCTCAGCTCTCAGATGGACTTACCGAGGACTTTCTCAGCTCTCAGAGGGACTTACCGAGGACTTTCTCAGCTCTCAGAGCGACTTACCGAGGACTTTCTCAGCTCTCAGAAGGACTTACCGAGGACATTCTCAGCTCTCAGAGTGACTTACCCAGGACTTTCTCAGCTCTCAGAGGGACTTACCGAGGACATTCTCAGCTCTCAGAGTGACTTACCGAGGACTTTCTCAGCTCTCAGAGGGACTTACCGAGGACATTCTCAGCTCTCAGAGTGACTTACCGAGGACTTTCTCAGCTCACATAGGGACTTACCGAGGACATTCTCGGCTCTCAGAGTGACTTACCGAGGACTTTCTCAGCTCTCAGAGGGACTTACCGAGGACTTTCTCAGCTCTCAGAGGGACTTACCGAGGACATTTTCAGCTCTCAGAGTGACTTACCGAGGACTTTCTCAGCTCTCAGAGGGACTTACCGAGGACTTTCTCAGCTCTCAGAGTGACTTACCGAGGACTTTCTCAGCTCTCAGAGGGACTTACCGAGGACTTTCTCAGCTCTCAGAATGACTTACCGAGGACTTTCTCAGCTCTCAGAGGGACTTACCGAGGACTTTCTCAGCTCTCAGAGGGACTTACCGAGGACTTTCTCAGCTCTCAGAGGGACTTACCGAGGACTTTCTCAGCTCTCAATGGGATTTACCGAGGACTTTCTCAGCTCTCAGAATGACTTACCGAGGACTTTCTCAGCTCTCAGAGGGACTTACCGAGGACTTTCTCAGCTCTCAGAGGGACTTACCGAGGACTTTCTCAGCTCGCAGAGGGACTAACCGAGGACTTTCTCAGCTCTCAGAGGGACTTACCGAGGACTTTCTCACCTCTCAGAGTGACTTACCAAGGACATTCTCACCTCTCAGAGGGACTTACCGAAGACATCCTCAGCTCTCAGAGGGACTTACCGAAGACATCCTCAGCTCTCAGAGTTACTTACCAAAGACATCCTCAGCTCTCAAAGGAACTTACCGAAGACATCCTCAGCTCTCAGAGGGACTTACCGAGGACTTTCTCAGCAGCTGCCACGATGTTGTACGTGATCTCATCTTCGTACGTGAGACGGACCAGGAACGAACCGTCCATGTACACCTCGGCCTCTCGTCTGTCCCAGGGAGAGAGAGAGAGGTGTGAGTATACAGGTAAACTCTTCACTGTTTTACACGTGAAGTTGTAAACTCTTCACTTTTTACACGTGAAGCTGTAAACTCTTGACTGTTTTACACGTGGAGCTGTGAACTCTTGACTGTTTTACACGGGAAGCTGTAAACTCTTCACTGTTTTACACGTAAAGCTGTAATCTCTTGACTGTTTTACACGTGGAGCTGTAAACTCTTGACTGTTTTACACGTGAAGCTGTAAACTCTTCACTTTTTACACGTGAAGCTGTAAACTCTTCACTTATTACACGTGAAGCTGTAAACTCTTCACTGTTTTACACGTGGAGCTGTCAACTCTTCACTGTTTTACACGGGAAGCTGTAAACTCTTGACTGTTTTACACGTGAAGCTGTCAACTCTTGACTGTTTTACACGTGAAGCTGTAAACTCTTGACTGTTTTACACGTGAAGCTGTAAACTCTTGACTGTTTTACACGTGAAGGTGTAAACTCTTGACTGTTTTACACGGGAAGCTGTAAACTCTTGACTGTTTTACACGTGAAGCTGTCAACTCTTGACTGTTTTACATGTGAAGCTGTAAACTCTTCACTGTTTTTCACGTGAAGCTGTAAACTCTTGACTGTTTTACACGTGAAGCTGTAAACTCTTGACTGTTTTACACGTGAAGCTGTAAACTCTTGAATGTTTTACACGTGAAGCTGTAAACTCTTTACTGTTTTACACGTGAAGCTGTAAACTCTTGACTGTTTTACACGTGAAGATGTAAACTCTTGACTGTTTTACACGTGAAGCTGTCAACTCTTGAATGTTTTACACGTGAAGCTGTAAACTCTTTACTGTTTTACACGTGAAGCTGTAAACTCTTGACTGTTTTACACGTGAAGATGTAAACTCTTGAATGTTTTACACGTGAAGCTGTAAACTCTTGAATGTTTTACACGTGAAGCTGTAAATTCTTGCACTTCACAATTATCAACTTGCAATAACACCGTAAACATTTTCAATTGCTTGAAAATGTTTTTACCATGCAAATGTTTTTACAATGAAAAACATGACAAACATTTTCAAATGCAAAAAAAAAAAAAAGAATTTAACGTGTAAACAATAATTTAATAATTTAACAATTATTAACGTGTTAAACCTTGGAAATAATTGTGAAGGGTAAAAAAAAAAAGTTGAAAATGACTCATAATGTAAACATTCATGTTGTAAATTACTTTGAAGTAAAAAAAAACTTTTAAATAAAATCGAATTAAAAAATTGTAAATTGTTGCGATGAGGAAAATACACTTAGTAAATTAATTTGTAAGGGAAAATATACTTTTAAATTAATTGAAAAGAAAACTTACACTTTGTAAAATATTCCAGAGGGCAAAGTACACTTTGAAAATGATTTACAAGGACAACATACATTAACTGGATCCTCATAATTTTCACTGATAATTTAGTATTAGACTACATTTTGATTCGTGATTGGTGGAAAATTTCACCAATCATGAGAGCTTTGTACCGTGACCCGTGCAAAATGGACCAATCACGACCTGGGGCAAGCTTAGTGTTCCTGATTGGTGGAAGAGGAACCAATCCAGAGGCTTAAACAGCAACTCTTCAACAATTATCTTAAATGATTATAATCAGTGATATCTTAATATCCTATGATGTCTGAATAAGACCTGTTCCTTGTTCAACTTTTTTGCGCTACCGCTCACAGGATGAGTATGGAGTGCACAACAAACTACCGCTCACAGGATGAGTATGGGGTGCACAATAAATTACCGCTCATAGGATGAGTATTGGGTGCACAATAAACTATCGCTCACAGGATGAGTATGGGGTCCACATTAACACTGCTCACAGGATGAGTATGGGGTCCACAGTAACACTGCTCACAGGATGAGTATGGGGTCCACAGTAACACCACTCACAGGATGAGTATGGGGTCCACATTAACACCGCTCACAGGATGAGTATGGGGTCCACACTAATACCACTCACAGGATGAGTATGGGGTCCACAGTATCACCACTCACAGGATGAGTATGGGGTCCACAGTAACACCACTCACAGGATGAGTATGGGGTCCACAGTATCACCACTCACAGGATGAGTATGGAGTCCACAGAAACACCACTCACAGAATGAGTATAGGGTCCAAAGTAACACCACTCACAGGATGAGTATGGGGTCCACAGTACCACACTCACAGGACGAGTATGGGGTCCACAGAAACACCACTTACAGGATGAGTATGGGGTCCACAGTATCACCACCCACAGGATGAGTTTGGGGTCCACAGTATCAGCGCTCACAGGATGAGTATGGGGTCCACAGTATCACCACTCACAGGATGAGTATGGGGTCCACAGTATCACCGCTCACAGTATGAGTATGGGGTCCACAGTATCACCACTCACAGGATGAGTATGGGGTTCACAGTAATACCGCTCACAGGATGAGTATGGGGTCCACAGAAACACCACTCACAGGATGAATATGGGGTCCAAAGTAACACCACTCACAGGATGAGTATGAGGTCCACAGTATCACCACTCACAGGATGAGTATGGGGTCCAAAGTAACACCACTCACAGGATGAGTATGGGGTCCACAGTAACACCACTCACAGGATGAGTATGGGGTCCACAGTATCACCGCTCACAGGATGAGTATGGGGTCCACAGAAACACCACTCACAGGATGAGTGATGAGTATGGGGTTAAAGTATCACCGCTCACAGGATGAGTATGGGGTCCACAGTATCACCGCTCACAGGATGAGTATGGGGTCCACAGTATCACCGCTCACAGGATGAGTATGGGGTCCACAGTATCACCGCTCACACGGGTATGGGGTCCATACCAATACTCACATGGGTCTATGGGGTCACATACCACTCACATAGTATGGGGTCCACAGTATCACCGCTCACAGGATGAGTATGAGGTCCACAGTATCACCACTCACAGGATGAGTATGGGCTCCACAGTATCACCACTCACAGGATGAGTATGGGGTCCACAGTAACACGATTCACAGGATGAGTATGGGGTCCACAGTAACACCACTCACAGGATGAGTATGGGGTCCACAGTAACACGATTCACAGGATGAGTATGGGGTCCACAGTATCACCACTCACAGGATGAGTATCGGGTCCACAGTAACACCACTCACAGGATGAGTATGGGGTCCACAGTAACGAGATTCCTCGCCCTTTCTTCAAGACACACCAAACGACGACGACTCGAACGACGACCAAAACGACAGCCACAAATCCAGTCGCGGAAGACGGCTTACAAGACAAAGAAGTATATTCCATTCAAGGATAACTGCAGAGATTTCTCATGTGTTGTGTTGGAAATGACTTCATATGTTACAAAGTTACATATTGGGACGTTTCGTATCCACTAACATTGTCCTTTAGATTAGGGCCATTTTCTGTTGATAATAGCACCATTGTTGAATGGTCGACTGCAGATAGAAGAAATATATCGTTTTTTTTTGACAAATTATGTGAAGGTTTCTCGTGGAAGTTGAAGCTTTTTTCCTGTACATTTAAGAAATTATTTGGGGAACCCTAACACTTTCTGAACCCCCAGCGAGGGTCAGGGTTCCCCAGTGCTTCTCAGGGCTTCAAAGTTCATCAGGGTTCCACAGCTCCTCTTAGGGACGCTTAGATCTTTTTAGGGCTTCCCAGGTCTTACCAGGGCTCGTACAGTCTTCATAGGGCACTTCAGATCTTCTCAGGGCACCTGAGACCTATTTAGGGCACCTGAGACCTATTTAGGGCACCTGAGACCTATTTAGGGCACCTGAGACCTTTCAGGTCTTCCCAATCATTGTCATTCCATGGTTAAGGTCTCCTGTATACCAGTTGCATTGTGATCCTGGCAGTATGGGTTCGAGTCACTTCTGGGGTGTGAAGTCTAGCATTCTGGGTGTAGCATTAGCAGAGAATGAGTATCAACACATCTTCAGCTCAACAAGTGCTAACCCCCACCTGTTACCAGCCTTGTAACCAATTAGCAATTACTATTAATCATGACCCTTAATCACCAACTTAATTATGACATATTCCAGGTAATCACAAGGAAGATATTACTCCAAGAATAATTAGGTACAATTAAATAATTACTCGAGGAGAGAGAGACGCCCCAAGCCGTAAAAGCTACGTACAGTGCATCTTCTCTCACAGACTTATCAAATGAAAGTCTGAATAATTGAGGAGGTCAACACACTCACTTGATGTCCTGCCACACCTCGTCGCCGAAGTTGCGAACGACCAGCTGCTCAATGGCGTAGTTGACGAAGCCGTACTGTAAGAGAGAGAGTAGTTGAGGCTCATGTTTCATTATCAGCTTGCAGGGGCGGACTCCAACCCGTCCTCTTAAAAATTACGTCACTTTAGGCTCGTATGCGCGCTATGGCCAAATTTGGACGTAATTTGAAATGAAATCGACTCACAAAAGTGACGTTCTGTTCCGTTTTCTGTTTGACTCGTCCGGCCCTCCTCGGAGAGCTTAGAAGAGGAACTTTCCATTAACGTTTTTCATAACGTTTTGAAACTTTATGAGAATTTCCTGCCCACCTAACCTATCAGAGGACCCTTAACTTACTGTTGTTGAAAAAAAAATCCCAAATTTATTTTAATTTTTTTTTCATTTTCAAATTACGTCCATATTCGGCCATACGGGCAAACGGCCAAAAGCGACGTTCTTTTTAAGAGGACAGGTTGCTGAAAAAACAGTATTTGAAAGCGCCCGCTAAAGGGGCACATAATAAGTTTTTTTAAAAATTGTTCAATATCAACCAATATTTTTTGACTAGTTGTATATAAAAAGGGCTGCAATTGTTCCAAATTTCAGTACTGTAGCCTTAATAGAAAGAAAGATTTTTATTTATTTTTTTCAATGAATTTTACACATTTTCAAGTTTAAATTTACAACCACACCTTTCAGGTATAATTATTCTATGACACTTTTCTGACACATTAGCATATAATAAAGAATCTCAAGTTGGGGATTTTCCAAAACATCTTTAGTTTTCCTAATACAAATAGTCAAAGTTCCCTCCCAAAATTATGCACATATATCATGTTTATTGCTATTTATAAATTAAAAAAATGAACTTAGGAAAAAACGCTTTCCTAGGATTTTACGGACATAAACTTTACATATAAGGTGTAAGTTTCATGTAAATTGAATAAAAAATGAAAGAGATATTTGAACGTTTATGTTACTTGAAAATAAATAAGAAAAAAAGTCTAATGGTGCTGCCATCTGTGACTTGAGGTTGACATCAACCAATTTCCTCTAAAATTTGCACCCTTACAGATAGGCCTACGTGCAGTCAGGTGTATATGTTTCATGCAAATCGTCCGATAAACAAAAGAGAGAGATAAAATAATAAAAAAAAAATAACTACATTTTTTTAATAAAACAAATTATAATTTGTTTTTAATATATGCTACTGTAATACCTGAGAGTCATAGACATGATTTCAGTTGACACTTTTGTTTGATAATCGTTTTTGACCATTTTGGAAAATTTTTGACACAATTCAATATTTGTTTTCTCCTTTCCTATTTATGTTACGATGCTGAGACGTGGATCAGATAAAACCGTTTTCATATACAACTCGTAAAAAAAGTTTGATCGAAATCGAACCAGTTTTCATTTATTGGATATTTGGATCCAAAACCATTCATGCCTCCTAAGTCCAACTGCTGACCTACCCCCCGGATGCAATCCCACATCAGAGGCCCATCTCACTGATACCTATATACTGGCTGGTGAACATACGAACTAGGTAAAAGAGAGACAGAGGTAAAATGAGAGAGAAAGAGAGAGTAAGAGAGAGGGAGAGAATTCTCACTGTGGTAAGTCTCACTGTGGTAAGTCTCACTGTGGTAAGTCTCACAGTGGTAAGTGTCACAGTGGTAAGTGTCACCGTGGTAAGTGTCACAGTGGTAAGTCTCACAGTGGTAAGTCTTACAGAGGTAAATCTTACAATGGTAAGTCACAGTGGTAAGTCTCACAGTGGTTAGTCTCACAGTGGTAAGTCTCACAGTGGTAAGTCTTACAGTGGTAAGTCTCACTGTGGTAAGTCTCACTGTAGTAAGTCTCACTGTGGTAAGTCTTACAATGGAAAGTCTCACTGTGGTAAGTCTCACTGTGGTAAGTCTTACAGTGGTAAGTCTCACTGTGGTAAGTCTCACTGTGGTAAGTCTTACAGTGGTAAGTCTCACAGTGGTAAGTCTTACAGTGGTAAGTCTCACTGTGGTAAGTCTTACAGTGGTAAGTCTCACAGTGGTAAGTCACACAGTGGTAAGTCTCACAGTGGTAAGTCTCACTGTGGTAAGTCTCACAGTGGTAAGTAACACAGTGGTAAGTGTCACAGTGGTAAATGTCACTGTGGTAAATCTCACTGTGGTAAGTCTCACTGTGGTAAGTCACACAGTGGTAAGTCTCACAGTGGTAAGTCACACAGTGGTAAGTCTCACAGTGGTAAGTCTTTTATTGGTAAGTCTCACAGTGGTAAGGCTCACAGTGGTAAGTCTCACATTGGTAAGTCTCACAGTGGTAAGTCTCACAGTGGTAAGTCTCACATTGCTAAGTCTCACAGTGGTAAGTCTTACATTGGTAACTCTCACAGTGGTAAGTCTCACAGTGGTAAGTCTCACATTGGTAAGTCTCACAGTGGTAAGTCTTACATTGGTAAGTCTCACAGTGGTAAGTCTCACAGTGGTAAGTCTCACAGTGGTAAGTCTCACAGTGGTAAGTCTCACAGTGGTAAGTCTCACAGTGGTAAGTCTCACAGTGGTAAGTCACACAGTGGTAAGTCTCACAGTGGTAAGTCTCACAGTGGTAAGTCACACAGTGGTAAGTCTCACAGTGGTAAGTCACACAGTGGTAAGTCTCACAGTGGTAAGTCACACAGTGGTAAGTCTCACTGTGGTAAGTCTCACAGTGGTAAGTCTCACAGCGGTAAGTCTCACAGCGGTAAGTCTCACAGTGGTAAGTCTCACAGCGGTAAGTCTCACAGTGGTAAGTCACACAGTAGTAAGTCTCACAGTGGTAAGTCTCACAGTGGTAAGTAACACAGTGGTAAGTAACACAGTGGTAAGTCTCACTGTGGTAAGTCTTACAGTAGTAAGTCTCACAGTGGTAAGTAACACAGTGGTAAGTCTCACTGTGGTAAGTCTCACAGTGGTAAGTCTCACAGTGGTAAGTCTTACAGTGGTAAGTCACACAGTGGTAAGTGTCACAGTGGTAAATGTCACTGTGGTAAGTCTCACTGTGGTAAGTCTCACTGTGGTAAGTCACACAGTGGTAAGTCTCACAGTGGTAAGTATTACATTGGTAAGTCTCACAGTAGTAAGTCTCACAGTGGTAAGTCTCACATTGGTAAGTCTCACAGTGGTAAGTCTCACAGTGGTAAGTCTCACATTGCTAAGTCACACAGTGGTAAGTCTTACATTGGTAAGTCTCACAGTGGTAAGTCTCACAGTGGTAAGTCTCACATTGGTAAGTCTCACAGTGGTAAGTCTTACATTGGTAAGTCTCACAGTGGTAAGTCTTACAGTGGTAAGTCTCACAGTGGTAAGTCTCACATTGGTAAGTCTCACAGTGGTAAGTCTTACAGTGGTAAGTCTCATATTGGTAAGTCTCACAGCGGTAAGTCTCACAGTGGTAAGTCTCACATTGGTAGGTCTCACAGTGGTAAGTCTCACATTGGTAAGTCACACAGTGGTAAGTCACACAGTAGTAAGTCACACAGTGGTAAGTCACACAGTGGTAAGTCTCACAGTGGTAAGTCACACAGTGGTAAGTCTCACAGTGGTAAGTCACACAGTGGTAAGTCTCACAGTGGTAAGTAACACAGTGGTAAGTCTCACATTGGTAAGTCTCATATTGGTAAGTCTCACAGCGGTAAGTCTCACAGTGGTAAGTCTCACAGTGGTAAGTCTTACATTGGTAAGTCTCACAGTGGTAAGTCTTACAGTGGTAAGTCTCACAGTGGTAAGTCTCACATTGGTAAGTCTCACAGTGGTAAGTCTTACAGTGGTAAGTCTCATATTGGTAAGTCTCACAGCGGTAAGTCTCACAGTGGTAAGTCTCACATTGGTAGGTCTCACAGTGGTAAGTCTCACATTGGTAAGTCACACAGTGGTAAGTCACACAGTAGTAAGTCACACAGTGGTAAGTCACACAGTGGTAAGTCTCACAGTGGTAAGTCACACAGTGGTAAGTCTCACAGTGGTAAGTCACACAGTGGTAAGTCTCACAGTGGTAAGTAACACAGTGGTAAGTCTCACATTGGTAAGTCTCACAGCGGTAAGTCTCGCAGTGGTAAGTAACACAGTGGTAAGTCTCACAGTGGTAAGTCACACAGTGGTAAGTCTCACAGTGGTAAGTAACACAGTGGTAAGTCTCACATTGGTAAGTCTCACAGTGGTAAGTCACACAGTAGTAAGTCTCACAGCGGTAAGTCTCACAGTGGTAAGTCTCACAGTGGTAAGTCTCACTGTGGTAAGTCTCACAGAGGTAAGTCTCACAGTGGTAAGTCTCACAGTGGTAAGTCTCACAGTGGTAAGTCACACAGTGGTAAGTCTCACAGCGGTAAGTCTCACAGTGGTAAGTCTCACAGTGGTAAGTCACACACTGGTAAGTCTCACAGTGGTAAGTCACACAGTGGTAAGTCTCACAGCGGTAAGTCTCACAGTGGTAAGTCACACAGTAGTAAGTCTCACAGTGGTAAGTCACACAGTAGTAAGTCTCACAGTGGTAAGTCACACAGTAGTAAGTCTCACAGTGGTAAGTCTCACAGCGGTAAGTCTCACAGTGGTAAGTCACACAGTAGTAAGTCTCACAGTGGTAAGTCTCACAGTGGTAAGTCTCACAGTGGTAAGTCTCACAGTGGTAAGTCTCACAGCGGTAAGTCTCACAGTGGTAAGTCACGAAGTAGTAAGTCTCACAGTGGTAAGTCACACAGTAGTAAGTCTCACAGTGGTAAGTCACACAGTGGTAAGTCTCACAGTGGTAAGTCTCACAGTGGTAAGTCTCACAGTGGTAAGTCACACAGTAGTAAGTCTCACAGTAGTAAGTCTCACAGTGGTAAGTCTCAGTAGAAAGTCTCACAGTGGTAAGTCACACAGTGGATATGTCTCACAGTGGTAAGTAACACAGTGGTAAGTCTCACAGTGGTAAGTCTCACATTGGTAAGTCTCACAGTGGTAAGTCACACAGTAGTAAATCACACAGTGGTAAGTCACACAGTGGTAAGTCTCACAGTGGTAAGTCTCACAGTGGTAAGT